AGGATATAGAGAAACTCTGTTAACTGATGGTATGTGGAGGGGATTATAATCAATGTAATGAAACAAGGTATATGAATGTTTGAATGTGAAACCGATGATGTGCCCTGAAAACTTTCACTCAATCCACAATAAAAACCTTAAAAAAAAAAAAGAGGATCTGATGAAACTCCCAAGTCTAGAGCTTTCAGCAGATATTCAATCATTCATTCACTCAACAACCCAACCTTAGCCTTCCTTCATTAAGGATGAACAATGAGCAAGATGAAGAAAGTGTAATAATCAAGAAGGACTACTTCCTGCAACAAACACACACACACACAAAAAGTCAGTGGCTTAACTCAATAGAAGTTTATTTCTTCTCATGTGAAGTCTAATCAGGGATTCCTGGTCTCTGGGTGACCTTCCATATGGTCATTCAGAGACCTAGACTCCTTCTTTCTCAGAGCTCTGCCCTTCTCTAGGGCCTCAGCTCCAATCCATTCATCCAACAGATGGGAAAAGAGAATAGAGGAAGGAAGACTATGGGAAGGCTTTTTGAACCAGACCAGGAAAACGTGCTCATCACTTTCACCCATGTGCCATTGCAGAACTCAGTCATATGGGCACACCTGACTGCAAGGGATGCTGGGAAATGTAGGCAAGCTATGTGTCCAGGAAGATGTGGGTTTGGGGAACACCTAGTTCTGGTGCTGAGCTCTCTGGGGATCCCTGATTCTATATTTCCTGGGCTCAGTCACACTGTCAAAGCAATAAAACAAGAAGCTTTCTGCCTTTGGAGTAGTTTTATTATTCCTCAGTGTAGAAAACTACTCAAAAGAAATCTTGGCACAGTGGCTTTTGCTCCCTCTGGCCCTCCCAGGATAGTAGCTCTATACACCCAGAACACTTGTCTAGGGGAAGTAAGAAGTGGTAGGAAGGGCAGGCAAGGACTCGCTGACTGGGTTGCTTTTTCCATCTGAGCCTCAGCCTCTTGTTCTGTGAATCGGGAGGACAGATAGTGTCAGTGCATGTAGTTCTGAGAGTTGTAGGAGAGAAGATATGACCAGGTATGCACAGATAGCAGAAATACTAAATGCATGTGGACAGCCCTCTTATTGATCAGGAAAGTTAAGCTGGGCAGAGTTGGGTGGGGCAAGACTGCCCACCAGGAGGCCTGGAGATGGCTGGCCAAGGGCAGAGCTTATAGTTACCATCTCCCCTTCCACATCCTGGGGCCCCCAGAAATGCCCCAGGCTTCCCATCTGGTCTCCCTCCACAGCTGTATCTGTCTGCCTCTGTGGCAGATAGTACAGGCTGCCTAATCTTCAAACCACCAGGGGGCCAATGAAAGGTGGGGGTGGGGGTCCACCCAAGCAAGGCACAACAGAGTCTCTTTCCTGCTGAAACCCACAGGCATAAACCTTTCTTTCTTTTTTTTTTTTTTTTTGAGATGCTCAGTTTTCTAATCATTGCTCTTGTTCCTCGGCTAAGGAACCTTTCAGTTCCCCTTTCTTTGCTGTTTGGTCCAACTACAGTCTCTCTGTCCACTCCTTCCTTGGATCCAATGACTCAGGACTAGTCCTCATTTCCTATATTTTCCACATTAATTAGGATTTTCCTTCTGTCAAAATTCTATCTGTTCACACACTGCAGAGTGCCAATACTTCATCCTACAGGTTACTTGCAAATCACAAAAGGATTACTACCACTTTGAGAGCCAAGCCTGGAAGTCTCTCATCAATTCCTTTAGTCTAATGAACAGTGGGGCAACGGGAGGCAAACAGAATTACTCATGAAGAAGTCTTGCCAAGAATAAGTAGCCTAGATCTAATCGAGCCTTTACCTCTATCTTCCAGTTTATAGGAAATACATGGAAAAGAGAAACTTATTAAATGACATAACAAGGAAATAATCAGACAAATTAAGAATGAGGCTGTTCTATAAGACAATAGCCCTGTTTTTTGGTTTTTGTTTTCAAACTGTTAAGGAGATGAAAACTGTGCTGTGTGACTACTGCACACTAAAAAGAAGAAAGAGTCAAATGCAATACATGAACCTACATTGAATCCCAGTTCAAAAAAAAAAGGGTAAAAAAGATGCAGTGTAGCTCTTGGCTGCTAACTGAAAAGCAGTTCAGACCCATCCAGTGGCTCTGAGGGTGAAAGTGTTGGCAGTCTACGTCCACAAAGATTGCTGTGACTGTTGTTAAGTGCCACCAAGTCGGTTCTGACCCACAGTGACCCTGTACAGGGCTTCCGAGGAGTGCCTGATGAGTTTGAACCACCAACCTTGTGGCTCAAACCGACCTTGCTGTCCAGCCTGCAGCGCCACACCAGGACTCCACCATAAAGATCACAGCCAAGAAAAGCTTATGAGGCAGCTGTACTGTGTCATGTAAGGAATAAGCAGCAACTCAACAGCACCCAACATCAAAGGATATGGAATTTCCTCTTGGGCCATAGAAATGTTTTGGAATTAGAAGTAGTGATTGCGTATCACTGTTAATGTATTAAATGTCACTAAATGAAATACTTTAAAATGGATTGTTTCATGATGTGTGATCTTTGCCTCAATAAAATAATAAAAGAGAGATAGGAAGGAAAGAATAGGGAAAGGGAAGGAGGTAGGAAGAAGAGGAAAGAGGTGCGTAAGAAATTATAGAATACATTTCTGGGACAACTGGATAAATTTGAATATTGATTGGGTATTAAATACCCAGCCTTTCTCCTCACTCTCCCCCCAATTTCCTCCTCTTCCTTCCCCTTCTTTTAATTTCCCCCCAACCTCTTCCTCACACCCTCTTCACTTCCTCCTCTGTCCAAGGATGGAGCAGAAAGAACCCCACATCTCAAGTTTTTGACATTCCTTGCCCTTCTCTGTGCCTCAGTTTTGCCAGTTAACAAATGAGGGGCTGGCCAGCAGAAACTTGAAGTTTACTGAGTCCATGTCCACGTGGGCTGGGACAGACTCTCCAAACATGAATGGACATGAGTGGACATTGGCCCCTGCTGGGATGTTCCTCCCTTTCCAACCTCCTAGCTCCACACCCCAGGCATCTTGGTTGGTGTTAGCTGAGGGGTTGAGAGATTTCCTGGCCTTGGGAGCTGTGGCCCCTCTGCTTAGCTCAGCCTGAATCAGCTCTCCCAGTAGCAGGGACAGTGACTCTCAGACACATTGTTTTCCTTTGGACTGGCAGCTCAGGACAGGGTAGACTAGGCTTGGCTTCTGTGGGACTCTCCTAGCATCTCAGGGATTGTTTCCCCTGCTTGCAGGGGAGGTTACCATTAAAGCAGACTGTTGCTCTACTAAATACCTGTGAGCGTTAATGTCAGCTTTCAGAAACCCACCTGTTCCTCTAGCAGAGAGTGGCAGAGCTGGGAAGCCCCTCCAAGGGGATTAGCCCAACTATTTCTTAAGGAGCTGAGGCCACAAGAGAGGCCGACTTCTCCAGGATGTGGGTTGCAGTCAGCAAGAACTGAGTTAGTTCTGACCAGGGTGGGGGCTGAAAGTGGGAGGAAAGGAGGAAAGGAAATGTAGGGGAGGGGGAAACAGGAGGTGAAGCTTCTTGCCTGTGCCCTTCTGCCAAGATGCCCTCCCTAGCATAGGTTCCTGACCTCAGTTTCCCCACCTGTCCTTATGAAGTGGGGCTGGGACATTCTTCAGTAAACACAGTGCTGAGTCCCAGCTGTTTGGTTCCATGATGGGCTGGGGGATTGTATCAAACAGGCCTCCCAGCAGATCACTGCCTAGCACTTCCGTGCTCTTAGCCCAGGGCTTGGGTTTCCAGGGAGTAAGTTTCCCAGGAGGTCCCTCCTAGGGTGGGAAGAGACACTTCCCAGGAAAGAGGGAGTGTCAGACCTGAACGCCTGAGTTGACAGGTGAGAGCCTGGCAGCCAGCACTCTACCCTTTGGTCCATTGTTTATTACTCGCTTAAGAGCTAGGGCCGCAGGCCAGATCTTGGGGCGTGTACCAGCTCCTGAGAGGGAGGTGACTGGACAGAAAAGAGGAGAAGTGGCCCTTTGGACCCCAGGAGGCCGGCCTCAGCCTCCCCTCCCTTACACACCGGTGTGTAAGCACATAGTGTGAGAGCTGCCCGACTGGGAGCAGCCAGTCCTAGACCTCCGCTGCTGCCACTCTCCTGGAGCAGCGGAGACAATCGGTTCCTTGGCAACATCCCGAGGAATCCAACAGCCACGCGCTGCCTCCCTTCCTCTCCCCTCCTCCCCTTCGACTGTCTGCAGGGGCGGGAGGCGGAGGCAGCAAGCCCCATTTTAAAAAGCGACTGTGCTCAGACAGCGAGGGGACAAGGGATTGCACTGAGCTCGGACGCTTGGTCCTGGCTCCTCCTGGACATCTCCCCCGCCATCCTCAGCCATGTCTCCCCTATCGCGCTCCTGGTTGCTGCGCCTGGCTGTCTTCTGCCATCTGACCATCCTGCTGGCTGGTGAGTGGGGCCTGGACTTGGCATGATTAGGGTGAGGGAGTTCCCAGCCCCATCTCTGTTCCCCAGCATAGGTAGGTCCCTGTAGCCTGAAAGCAGCCCCTTCTGAGGGACATTCTGAAAGGGTACTAGGCCCCTGGCCCCTGGCTGTCTCTCCTGCCCGATGATCTATGTTCCTGGTGGTTGTCCCTGCCTCAACCAGGGAGCAAGTTGGCTTCTGCTTGGCCGCAAAGAGAGGTGATGTGGGGGGCACAGGGTGCCCAGGTGTGTGTATCCCAGGAGCGTGAGGGCTAGGGGAAGCCTGAGGAAGCTTCTGGTGGGGATGGGGGAGGGAGGTCCTAGCAGTCAGTGGACTGGGCCTTCTGGCTCAGGATTAATGTGTAACCTGCAGCCTGGAGTCCTGAGACCAGCCTGGCCTCTGGCCAGACCACCATTAGGACTTTGCTTTGGCCGGATCTCAAGGGCCTCATGAGTAGGGGACCCGGAACCAATGAAGGTCAAGGTAACTGCAGCCCATGCTTTGAGCTCATTGCTGCTGTTCTGGGTCTGTATCCCTGTCTCTCCCACCACACAGTTGTCCTCTGAGCACAGCTTAGCAAATGCCTTCCCTCCAGGCTCAAGTGTTCGGGATCCCAGGACCAGGTAGGGCTAAGAGTATCCATCCCCCATGACACCAGTAGGATGGAAGCTCAAAGGGCTGTAGAAACTGGCCTGAGGATGCACAGACAGCACATGGGGCAGGAGGATGTGAGGCGCATTGGACGCCATGCACGAGAGGCTCTAGCTCCGTATGGGCCCCAGCCAGGATGGACCGCGTCCCCTCTGGTGACCATACTGCCTTCTGGGGACCTTTAGAGTCATTCATCTCCCTCCTCAGGGAGTGTTCCAGCCATGTGCTAGACAGGATGGGAGCTTGCCTTAGGGCACGTATCCAGTCTCTGGGAGAGTGAAAACTGGTTCCGAGCTTCCAGGACATCTCCATGGAGTTCATTTTCTCTCAGTTCTTCCTGTCTAGGAAAAACCCACCAGTAGACCAGGAGTGGAAGGGTAAATAGTTGGATTGGGGGTGGTGGGGTGTATCACTGTTGGCTGCCTGGGGTGTTTGGGGAGCATGGAACTGAAGGATGAGAGTCCTAAGAGGTTATCTTGCTATACCTTGCTCTGTAACACTGGGCAAGCTCTTGATTCTTAGGCTGTCAGCTGCTGTACCTTTAAGTATAGCTATTAGCTCCTGGGAGAGGTGATGAGGCTCCTATGAGGGCATTTGGAAGAGAGAGGGGAAGAAGGGTTTCTTTTATTAAGTTGGTGGGGGGCAGGGGCCCTGGGTGGTCCTGGACACTCTGTTTAGCATCCCAAGGTTTCAATACCCTCCGGTCCCTGCCCTAATCATTGTCACTGACTTTGCTAGGAGATTTTTTATCATCATTTCAGCCTGTCTGCATCTCAGTTTCTCCTCTTATAAAACTAGCCATTTGGCCAGGCTGGCCTTGGAGAATCTCACCAGTCCCCTGGGAGTCAGAGGAAGACTAGAGGGTGGTCTGGAAGTCAGAGAGACCCCCAAGGGAGGCTGGAGGCTTCCTGGCCACCGGCCCTGACTGGTACAGGGAAGCTACGTCAATCCCCAAATGTGGGTTTGCAGGGCTGTGTCAGGCAGGCGAAGGTCCTCCACTTTATGTAAGGAACCCGCAACTATAAGTCAGAGGGATTGGTCCCCACTCACTGACACATTCACGCCCACTCACGCCCCAGCGGAGAGACAAAAACCTGTTTTAAGCTGCTTTAATCTGCTCCCCTGAATAGAGAGTGGTGGGGGTGGATGGGGGGTGGGGGAGGCTATGGAGGGATAAATGCAGATTCAGATCCAGGCTCTGCCAGATTTAAATAAAAATGCTTAGCTTTATTTCTGTTGATTAAGATCCTCTATGTCACAAAGTGCTTCCTTGTGCACTTTGTTCATTCATTCATTCTTTCAATAAATATTTAGTGGACACCTACTATGTACTAGATACTGTTCCAGGTACTCGGCCACATCAACCAATCACATGGCCCTCAGGGTGCTGAAATTCTACTAGAGAAGACAGATAATACATAACATAAACCAGTGAATGACTTGGCCTGTTAATAGGAAGTAAATGCTGTGATAAGAAGTGTGTATGTATAGATGTGTGTGTATATATTATGTGAATCTATGTGTGCGTATATATGTGTGTATGTATATATGTTATTGTTGAGTGCCATCGAGCTGGTTTGGACTCATATAGACTCTGTATAGGGTCTCCAAAGAGTAGCTGGTGAGTTTGAACTGCTGACCTTGTGGTTCAAACCGACCTTGTTGTGCTTTATCCCACAGCACCACAGAGCAGAAAGCTTCATCTTTCTCCCACAGAACAGCAGCCCAACTTGTAACCACTGTGCTACCAGAGCTCTCTCTCTCTCTCTCTCTCTCTATATATATATATATATATATATACACATACATAAAAGGAGCTCTGGTAGCGTAGTGGTTACGAATCGGGCTGTGAACCTTAAGGTCAGTGGTTCGAAACTACCAGTTGCTCCGCGGGAGAAAGATGAGGCTTTCTACTCCCGTAAAGATTTACACCCTCGGAAACCCTGTACAAGGTCGCTATGGGTCAGAACCTTAACAACCTTAACGACTCGACGGCACTTAACAACAACAACAATACATACATAAAATCTTGGGAAGCACAGTGGCTCCAAAAGATAAGCACTGGACTGCAAACCACAAAGTTGGTGGTTTGAGCACAGCTCCATGGGAGAAAGATGAGGCTTTCTACTCCCATAAATATTAAAAATCTCAGAAACGCTAAGAGTTGGCACCAACTCCAAGTTACCCCCATCATATTTATATTAATAATAAGATATATATTTTAGTTATCTCATGCTGCTATAACAGACGTACAGAAATGTGTTCTCTCACAGTTTAGGAGGCCAGAAGTCTGAATCCAAGGCACCTGCTCTTATAAAGTCCTGAATATGTGGAGTGTGTTCTAGAAGATGGTATTGAAGGTGACCTGGGGTGAAAAACTAGCTCTGACACTACACAACTGTATGACCTTGGGCAAGTCATTTAACCTCTGTGAGCCTCAACTTCTGCATCTGCAAAATGGGGACAATGGCACTCCCTTTTCAGGGAAGTTGGGCATTAAGGAGAACAAATGGGGGTGTGCGCTGAGCACAGGTGCTCAACAGAAAGATGTCAGAATGTTTTAGCTGCCCGTCAGACTGGGTGGGTGCCCTCTAAGGACAGAGACAGGCCTCACAGCACTCAGCACAGGGCCTGGCACTAGGGAAAGATCAGCATTTGTTGGCTGACTGAATAACATAATGATCTGATAATACTTACTGGCATGAGAGACTCTCTCCCAGCTCAACACCAGTACCCATAGGAAGACAAGCTCAGGCTAAGGACAAGAGAGCCTGGGGCTTTGTTGTTCTCAAAAGAAATAGAAACACGTGTTTGCTGAATGAGAAAATAGATGGTTGGTTTGATGGATGGATGAGTGGGCTGTTGATGTATGGGTAGATGAAAGGGGGATGGAGGATGAGTAGGATGGGCAGGTGGTAGATTGGTGAGCGGGGGATCAGTGAATAGATGGAGGGGGATTGAATAGGGAATAATGAGGAGTGGGCAGGTAGGGGGTGGGGTGAGATGAATTGATAAGTAGGGATAGGTAAGTGAAGGGATGAATGAAGAAATAATGTTAGATTAAAATCAGTTAATTCAGTAAATATTTATGGAGTATCCACCTTTTCTTGGTACTGGGGAACATTGTGACACTTGTGTTCAAAGGATGCAAACATGATGGAGAACAGAAAAGACTTCAACTCAGTGAAGGAAAGGCCTCCCCTGGGCAAATCACAAGGAGCTCTGGTGGCGTAGTGGTTACGAGTCAGGCTGCAATCTCAAGGTCAGCAGTTTGTAATGATCAGCTGGTCTGTGGGAGAAAGATGCTCCCATAAAGATGTACAGCCTCAGAAACCCTATACAGGGTCACTGTGAGTAGGAACCAACTCTACAGAACATAAACACTACCTGGCAAATCACGTACCCAACATAGGCAGAACCAAGAATAAAGTCTGACCAAGGTCACGTGAGCGCTGTGTGGGGCAGGGAACTTTGGAGACAGGGTGTTTCTTCCCATCCTAGAGGGGCCCAGGAATGAGCCTCCCTACCTGCCCATTGGCAACCTCCTCATCTCCTCCTAGCTCTAGCTTTTCCAGAATACTGCTTTTCTGGGGCTTTCCCAGAAAGATACCAATGTCCAGAGCAGGCCCTGCAGGCTGCTGCTGACTCATTCTAAGTCCCCTGGAGGAGGAGGGCCACAAGCCTGCAGTCCAACTTTCACATCTTGGTTCCTCATCCTGTTTCCTCTGTAACAAAGAGCAGCCGGTAACTCAGGGGCTACCTCTCCTGCCCACCTAGGAGCTAGTGGTACCACCCCTTGATGACCCACTCTTCCACCCCACAGACCCTGAACCATACCTCCCACAAGCAGTGTGCCTAGGCTGAGGGGGTGATGGGGAGAGGAGGCAGTGGGTTTTAGAAGGTTTGGGGGCACCAACATCTGTGTATACCTATATTTGAGAAGGCAGAGTATGTTTGTACATTGAGTTAAGAGTTGGGCTGCTAACCACAAGCAGGTTGAATCCACTGTGAGAGAAAAATGTAGCTTTGTACGATTGTAGATTTACAGCCTCAGAAACCCTATACAGTGTTGCTGTGAGTTAGAACTGACTCAACGACACACAACCACCACCACCAATGTGTTTCGGTGAAACCCATGGATCAGCTGGGGGGCTCCCTGAGGCCCTGAAGAGCTAGACCAGGTCAGTTTGGTCCCTTGACTTTACTGCTCTGGAAGTCCCGGCCAATGGGTCATTAAGTCATTGTAAAACCTTCATGGGTCTTCCTTCTGCTAACATAACTTGACCCAATTCTGAAATTCAAGCTCTTCCTCATTTTCTGCACACTGATGGCTTCCCAGCCCCAACTCATGCCAAAAAGAATAGATTTTCTGGAAATTTGAGGGGAAGAAAGAAGTGGAAATGCAATATAAACAACCTCAGGTGTTTCTATCAAACACTGTATTAGATATTTAAATTCTCCACTGGCCTTTTGTTACCTTCATTCCATTCTGGAGTTTGCCTCTGGCTCCATGTAGTAGCCAGTCACATGTCTGTCTCTGCTCCTGTCCTACTCACACACCCCATCTCTACCCCTCCCTTTTACTCCTGCTTTCGTTTACTTGCTCAGGTACCCTAAATTCCTCCCCCTGTTCTATGTTGGACAATTCATTTCCTGGGTTTTCATAACAGAACAAAAGGTCGTCTGTTCCCCAGACACCCACTTTCTTTAGAAAACAATCGTACTTAAATATGTTTAAATTTTACTGTCTTGCCACATGTTGCTGCCTGTACATATATATGTCTTTATGTTTTTGTATAGGGTCAGGGGCAGGTCATTGAATTTGTTGGCATGTGTATGTGTGTAAACAAGTTATAGGGTGTGTCCAGAAGAATTCACAGATATGAAACAGCCTGAAAGGGAGACGGAAGTATATAGGTGTATAGGGTGAATGGCAACAGTTGAGTAGGTGAGCTGCTGGGGAAAAGGAGGGGACTGAAGCCAGTCCTGGTCGACAGCCAGCTCATCACTTGCTGGCTGTGTGACCCCAGACAGATTCCTGCCACGTTCACACTTATAGCTCCCCGCTGTCCAACCGACCAACTACAGCAACTTCGTTTTAAAAATTAAACACATACTCCATACCAGGCAATAAGAACTTTAGAAATAAGAATCCATTTCATGAGTCCTCATAATAACCCTAGAAGGCACCAGAGATTTTGGTGATGGCGGAACCTGATAAGGCTAGGTGTACAAAGCATTGGTGCTCGTGTGGTGGGGTATGGCTGGGACAAGTGGATGTGGGGCTGGGAAGCACGATGTCCTTGGACAGTCCTGCTGACCGGGGGCTTCTGTGGACTCAGGACAGCACCACAGTGTTAAGAAATGCCGCATCACATGCAACAAGATGACTTCAAGAATCCCTGTGACCTTCCTAATCCACTATGAAGAAAACCACAAGTCCTGTGGGAAGCCTGCTATCATGTAAGTACTGCTCTTATGGGGTCTCAGGCCACCGCTCAGCTCTGCCCACCTACACCTGTCCTCCCCAACCCCAGCTCCTAGCCAAGAGCCTCGGCACTGGTCCGCCGGTACCTCACTGACCATAATGTCTTTGCCACATGGCACAGATGGGGAGTGGTTTCCAGAATGACTTACTATGGTGAGAAGCGAGAGGTGGCTGCCCTGGCTTGTGGCCCGGAACAGTCACCAAGGGGGGCATAACTCCTGGGTTGAAACATATTTGACACAGTACTTGAACCCACTGGATTTCATGGGGCGGCAGAGCCTGTTGTTCTCAAAGTTCCCAGTCCTAGACTCTGACCTGGCTAATGCAAATTCTGGCCTCATCACTTACCTGTGGGGTAGCTCTGGCCACCTTCTCTGCATTCTGAGCCTTAGTTGTATTTATCTGTAAAATTTGTAGTTGGGAGGATGAAAAGGAGAGAATGTAATTCAAGTGCTGGGCAGGATGCTTAGAATCTGCTGCCAATGGGGAAAGCAGTGAGACAACGCCTTTCTCTCATAGAGTCAGAGAAGATTAAGATTTGGAACATGAGGTCCCAACAGGGCCACCATAAATATGGCTGTAGTTCACTAGGTGTCCTGGAAGCCCAAGGGCAAACACAGGAGAGAAGGGCCCAGAGGACAGCTAGAGTTACAAACCAAGGGAGAGGACATAGGTCCTTTCCAGAGTTGGAGTCCCAAGCCTGGCAGAAGTCCTCCCCAATTAGGAGACTTACAGCCCAGAGCCCCTGCCTGAATGGTAATGATATCATTATCAACACGCTTATTCTTCTCCACTCTTACTGTGCTTCTAACGTGAGCCAGGTACTCGACACCATTTACATGTTTACAGCAACACAGTAGGGTAACCAACTCACCCTAGTTTGCCTTAGACTTTCATGGTTTTGAAGCAGCAAGTTCTGTGTCCTGAGAACATGTAAATCCAGTTTGAGCAAGACAGCTGGTCACCCTACCAAAAACCCAAACCTCTTGCCATTGAGTCTGTTCCAACTCATGATGACCCCATGCTGTTTGTTGTTAAGTGCTGTTGAGTCAATTTTGACTCATAGCCACCCTGTATAGGGTTTCCTAGGAGTGGCTGGTAAGTTTGAACCACCAACCTGGTGATTCAAACCAACCTTGTGCTCCAGTGCTTATCCTACAGCGCCATACCAGGACTCCGTAGAAAGTAGATAGCTTCGTCTCCTCCATTTTTAGGTAAGGAAACTGAGGCTCAGTAGCTGAAGGGAGTTAACAAGGCCTAACAGTTAACAAGTGGTGGAGGCAGGATTTTGAGTCAGGTCTGTTCACTGTGGCCTGGGTTCTAGAATCTGTGCATCACTGAATCTCTGTCTTCCTCCCTTGTAGCTTGGAGACCAAGCAGCATAGAATCTTCTGTGCTGACCCAATGGAGAAATGGGTCCAAGATGCCATGGCATATCTGGACCACCAGGCAGCTGCTCTGACCCAAAATGGTGGCACGTTTGAGAAGCAAATCGGCGTGGGTGAGCCCAGGACAACCCTGGCTGCAAGGGGGATGTACCAGACTGCTGTGTCAGAGCCCCAAGCTGCGGGGGAAAGCAGTAGTCTGGAGCCGACTCATCCTTCCCAAGAGGCACAGGAGGCCTTGGGGACTTCCCCAGAGCTGCCAACCAGAATTGCTGGTTCCCTGGGGACCAGGTCCCCCTCAGCCTCAAACACTGAGCTTGACGGGCTTCCAACTGGATCAGACAGAGATGAGTTTCTCAGTGTGGCTTCTGTCTCCACCACGAGTTCCGCTACCTACCAACCTGGGTCAGGTCTCCGGGCCAAGGGAAAGGCCTCCGAATCCCCCTCCACAGAAGCCTCCTCCACTCAGGGCCCCTCCGCTGAGGTCCCCACCATTTCACACCCAGTCCCAGAGGCCAGCACTGGGACTGAAGGCCAGCCTGTATGGACTAAGGAACACAGCCCCATGCCAGAGAACTCTCCAGAGTCTGAGGAGATGGGCCCCATTCCAGCTCACACGGATGCGTTCCTGGATTGGGGTCCTGGAAGCATGACACATATTTCTGTGGTCCCTGCCTCCTCTGAAAGAGCCCCCAGCAGGGAGCCAGGAGCTGAAGGCAGCTGGGCCACCAAGACCGAGGAACCCATCCATGCTACCGTGGACCCCCAAAGGCTGGGTGTCCTCATCACTTCTGTCCCTGACACCCAGGTGGCCACCCGAAGACAGGCAGTGGGGTTGCTGGCCTTCCTTGGTCTTCTTTTCTGCCTGGGCGTGGCCATGTTTGCCTACCAGAGTCTCCAGGGCTGCTCCCGCAAGATGGCAGAGGAGATGGTGGAAGGGCTTCGCTATGGCCCCCGGAGCTGTGGCAGTAACTCGTATGTCATGGTACCAGTGTGAGTGTCTACCTGCCTGCATTATATTGTTTGACTCAGACAGTTGCCTGAGATCCCTCATCCTCATACCCAATCACTTCCAAGGGCCTGGCCGAAGCTGGGGTGATCAAAAAAGGGAGGTGGGACCCTCCAGGTGGGACGACTCCCAGCTCCCAGGCAGACCCCCAGGAGACCACTTTTGACCAATCTTGACTTCCTGGGAACAAGGAGTAGCTTCCACAACTCACTCCGATGTCCCCAATTCAGAAAAACCTCCTTTGCTGCTGGCCGGCTAGAGGCTCCCTTTAATATTGTCCAGTCCCAACTTATTTATTGATGCCCAGCCCCTCCAGCTCATGCCCCACGTGGGGATCCCATTCACACCCAACTGACAAATGAGCCTCTGGTCAGGCCCCTCTACCCGCTTCCTCCAATTCATCCAGTTTCTTAGTCCCGCTGCAGACGCCAGTCTCCCGGTCACCTGCGGTGCTATCTCTCCCTGTCCCCTATACAGAGCCTACCCCCAGCCAAGGACACATGTTTTTTGTTTTTTGTTTTGCATGAGGCTAATGTGATGTTTTCTGGGTGCTTCCCAACCAAGGCCCTGCTCTCCTTGTCAGTCAAACAGTAAGAGAAGATGAGATTTTCTGGCAGTGTGACTCTGTGCCATAAAGGGTCATTGATTATGAATCTGAAAACTAGGATTTGAGTCACAGGCCTGCCATCAATCCCCAAGGCATTAACGTGACAGAAGATAACCCCTTTCCCTTTCTCTTTCGGGGCCTCTGGTTTCCCATCTGTGAAAGGAAATAGTTGGATTAGATAAGAGATGGCAAATATGTGGAAAGAACCTGTATCCCTGACAGGCATCACTAATCGATCCAGATATCCTTTCTCACTGTCCCTCCTCAGCCCCCACCCCCACCCCCCAACCTTGGATGTAGCCTCAACAGTGCACCTTAGCCAATCAATTTGATTGGCATATCTTCAGATCCTGTGATCTGGAAAGCCTGCAATGAAATGAATGATAGCTCAGGTCCTGCTTTGTTGGAAGGGAGTCTACCCTGTGGGACTTCTGGAGGGTGGGGAGGACAGAGCTTGGCTATGATACTTAAGGGACCAGGACCCCACTTTGGAAGGCCTCTTCCTCGGCACTGGGACAACTGAGCTCTGCACACCCTCTGAGGGATTGGCTAAGGTAGGAAGGGTGAGCCTTCAGGCTCTCTGGGAGGCTGAGTGCTCCAGGGAGAAGCCACACCCCTGACATGGCTTGTGCAGGTGGCCAATCTCAATGCTCCGGGTCCTTATACTCCCAAGGCCAGTATTTGCTCTTTGGTTTTGAAGCCTGCTTCCCTCCACCTCTCTCACTCCTGAAAACACTGTCCTCTGCAATCCAAGACCTTCCTCCTCCTCGTCTCCACCACCACCATGGGTAGGGCCAGGAATTTCCAAGCGTTTCCATGAGATCATGGAACCTAAGTTTCCCCTATTTCTGAAAGGGACTTTGAGGAGGGAAGCTGTGGGCATGAGTCAGGGGTTCCCTGTTTGACTGCTCGGGATGGGGCTGGAGGCTGGTTGGGCTGACCACCGCCCACTGGCAGAGTTGGCCCTGCAGACCTCAGCCTTCAGGGTCCCTGGTGGCAGCACTCCACATCGCTCTCAAGAGTGATCCTTCCGTTCGCCTGAGGAGCTTCCCAGGAGCTGGGATTCACCCAGTGGGTGTCACACTTTGCAGATGGGACCGGATGTTCAGAGGAGGAAGAGAGGCTCTGGTCCACAGAGGAGGGGTCTGCTCCTCTGCCCTCCGTCACTCCTGCACCATCTGTTGGGATCACCCAGAGAAAGGGATAGGTCCCTGACCATGGGCTCTCCTTGTTTGTGAAAAAGAGGTTAGGGCAGCTGAAGTCCCTTTCACAGACGGTAATTCCTCCAAGCAGAATAGACAGACAGACCACTTTGGAAGGACTTTGAAAGGAGTTGGTTGATCCTTTTGCTTTGCCAACCCTCATCTCCAATGTTTGTTCCATTTTGTATTTTGCTAATAAAATTTTAAAGTCTTGTGAATGAAATAAGGGTATTCTTTCTGGGGCAGGTCTAGCAACCAGGACCTTAAGGGGTGGGTGAAAGGGAGGAAACAAGACTCCCAGTTTTAGCCCTGGGGAAGAGGAGTCAGGAGCCTCCGAGTCATTTGGAGCAGAAGGGAAGGATGTTTTACAGTTAGCAGAAGAAGACACGTTGGGATGGGATGAGGAGCTTGGGCCCCTGCCTGACTCTGCTCTGCCCATCTCTGTTGCATTAGGTCAGTGCTTTCGCCTCTCTGGACCTGTATAAATTCAGTGTGGTTCCCATTCCTGGTAGGGATCAGAATCTCCTGTGGAGCCCCACCACATACCTACTGATCATCATGTTGGGGTCCCTGATATCACCATTAGTGATTGGGTGACGGGTGACCCACAGAAGGCAAATGGACCACAGCTTATTCTTTGCTGCCCTGATTCATTCCTGGTTTAGATAAAGATAGAAATAGGGTGGCCTCTCCTCAAGGAACTTGAATGTTCATAGATGTGACCCAAGTGTGAGCCTCTTGGTGGCCCCTAGGTCCTCCAGAGTCCTGGGGCGGCCTCCTAAGAGATACTAGTAACAGTTGTGCCAGTTGAGAATAGGATTCCACAGATGAAATCCTGCCTGCCGATAAGCAGTATTTCCTTTATTCTGTGCGGCACATTCTTTCCCTTGGTGATGTCTTTGAAATCAGGACTTGTCTTACAATCCATGGCTCATTAGAGTTTACTTTGCAGGATTTTTAATTAGCAGTTTGTTAAATATCAGACCATCTTACAATCAGTAGCAGCTGTATTAGTTCTCCAGGATGACTTTAACAAACAGAACTTAATTTTCTCACAGTTTAGAAGTCTGACTTCAAGATTCCAACTCTTGGGGAAGACTCTCTCTTGTCAGTTCTGGAGGAAAGTTCCTGGGAGACCTTCATGTGGCTTGGCCTCTCTCTTCCCCATCTCAGTTCCTTTTGCTTACTTGTTTAATCTCTTTAATATCATCAAAAGAGATGGGCTTCAAACATACCCTACACTAATCCTATTTCATTAAGATAACAAAAACACCCAGTTCCCAAATTCAACTACAGTTTACGAGGGTTAGGATTTACAAAACATATTTGGGGGACACAATTTAAACCCTAACAGCATCTTGATGTTAGATGCTGTGAAGTTCGCTCCAATTCATAATGACTCCGAACACGACAGAACGAAACACTGCCCAGTCCTGCACTGTGTTCACTGTTGTTAGGACACTTGAGCCCATCTTAGATTCTATATTCATAACAGTGTTTTTAAAAAGTAGGAACACTATATGAAAATCAGGACTTTCTGAACATAAACCCACTCCTCTATGTTCTCTTAGTGATTCAGAAGATCAGCCTCACAGAACCCATGCTCCCCCAGGGAGATGGTGGCCAGGGTCTGTGCAGAGACTGTCCCTTGTGCAGGGGCAGACCAGGGTGAGATCTCCAGCATCCTACCTCCCTCTCCAGACCCACCTTACCCCACGTCACTTCCAACCCCAACCTTTTTCTCCAAGATTCTACTAGTTGCCATTTAGCATTACCCTTGTGTTGTTATTTTTACTATAATAAATGTATTTTTCTCTGAGCCCAAGTCTCCATCAAAAATAGGATAGTGGGGATTCAGTACGGGGGACCCTCCACGCGGGGGAGCCCAGCCACTATACCTCAAATGAAACCATTACCCCTCCGTCAGTGGAGACTTGCATGTTGCTGTGGTGCTGATCAGGTTTGTACAGAGCTTCCTGATGAAGACAAACTAAGAGAAAGCCCTGACAATTTACTTCTGAAAAAGAAACCAATGAAAACACTACGATAACAACCGTACAATTCCAGTATACGTGAGGTCACCAAGAGTCGGGGACAAACTTGCTGGCAACAGCAACAGCAGATCTTTGAACATAGGAAGTTCTAAGTAAATTTGTGTCCATGATTGAATAAAATTAAAAATGTTAAAACCAAGTGAAAAGTAGAACAAAGAAAGGCAGACTGTGATAACCACATGTGTTTCCTCCTAGCCTGATGGTTTCTGTCATTTTATTACCAGCCCAAATCCACAGACATTTGGGTCTGAGGTTCCTACTGGCATCTGTGTTTGCTGCTTCTGCCAATGCTATGAATTTCAGGATTTTCCCTTCCAGTGAGCTACAACTTTACCTACTTCACCCCAATCCAGTTTCTGCCTGTTTTTGCCCACCTGACCAATCATCTGGAAGCAATACAAATTTAAGAAGTCTTCAGGGGATATTTTTAGTTTAAGATTTATTTTTAAAGTATTTAAGATTTCAAAGAACTCTTGAGGCCCACTACAGACTGACTGAGTGCAGACTCTGGAGTGTGACCCCGTAATCTGAGCTTTCAACAAGCCCCCAGCACTTTCCAAACCTACTGCCGTTGAGTGGATTCTGACTCATAACAACCCTCCAAATTCAGGGATTGGCACCTCACCTGAGTTGCTAAACCCACTATGCCAGGCCACCTACCCTCCTACCCCAAACTGTGCAGGGTTTCTGTGGCTGTGGCCTCCCACGGTCTTCTTCCCTTTTGCTATTTAAGTTGGCTCCTCTTGTCTCCTGTACATTCCTGTACAATCCCCGGCTGGGCGAGGCCAGGCAGAAAACACAGAAATGAATGGCCGGGAATTTCCAGGCTGAATAATAAGGGCCGGAAGCATGGTGTACATGTGTATGTGTGTACATTTGTGTGTGTGTATATCCACAAGAGCTCAGGAAACTGCTTTTGTTTTGTCTTGATCACATGCTTCCCTGAGTAAATAATGTTTGCACTGCCAGGCTAGCTTTCCCGCCCTGGCAGCAAAGTTGAACACCTGGAACTGGTTCTAGTATAATCAAGTAGGAGGGTGGGGGTGGGGTCTCTGAAGTGAGGAATTCCAGAGCAGACTGTGTGTTGGAAAGTGTCTCCTCTTTTGCCTTCAGTAGATCCCATTG